ATCATTATGCTATACACATTAAATTAATATAATATAAATCAACTCTATGACAATTAAAATTATTTTATTTAAAAAAAAATCTGTTTTAAGGGAACGCCTCTGTGGCTGAAACCCAAAGAGGGTGGAGGGAGGGATTTCTTTGAAAATTAAAATTAAAGTTTTGGTTTCCTCTTTGGCAGTAGTGCAACATCTAGAGTCCAGCTGTTTGAGTTCAGCAAATCCTGACTCTGCCCCTCTCTAGCTGTGTGACCCTGGCCACCTTCTTAACCTCTCTAAGTTACAATTCCCTTAACAGAAACATGGACTAGTATGATTATTGTCAGGGTTTAGTGAACTGCTGCTATACAGAAAGCTGTTAGTCCAGTTCCTGGCTTATAGGAAGTAACCAATAAATTTTGTGTGTGTGCTGAGTCGCTCAGCGTGTCTGATTCCTTGCAGCCCCATGGACTGTAGCCCACCAGGCTCCTCTGTCCATGGATTCTGGAGGTGGGTAGCTAGTCCCTTCTCCAGGGGATCTTTCGGACCCAGGGATCAAACCTGGGTCTCCTGCATTGCAGGCAGATTCTTTACCATCTGAGCCTCCAGGGAAGCCCAATAATGTTTCAGTTCAGTTCAATAGCTCAGTCATGTCCAACACTTTGTGACCCCATGAACTGCAGCACGCCAAGCATCCCTGTTCATCACCAACTTCCAGAGCTTGCTAAGACTCATGTCTTTTGAGTTGGTGATGCCATCCAACCATCTAATCCTCTGTCGTCCCCTTCTCCTCCTGCCTTCAATCTTTCCCAGCATCAGGGTCTTTTCTAATAAGTCATTTCTTCCCATATGGTGGCCAAAGTATTGGAGCTTCATTTCAGTATCAGTCCTTACAATGAATATTCAGGGTTGATTTCCTTTAGGACTGGTTTAATCTCCTTGCTATCCATCATAGCTTTGACTATAATGATCTTTGTCAGTAAATTAATGCCTCTGCCTTTTAATATGTTGTATATGTTGGTCATAGCTTTTCTTCCAAGGAGCAAGTGTCTTTTAATTTCATGGCTGCAATCAGCATCTGCAGTGATTTTGGAGCACAAGGAAATTAAGTCTGCTACTGTTTTTGTTGTTTCTCCACCTATTTGCCATGAAGTGATGATGATTGCAGCCATGAAATTAAAAGACGCTTACTTNTAGGAGAATAGAAGATGATTCAAGTTCAGTCCAGGCTACTATTCTCTACTGTCTCTGGAGGTGCTTGTAAGTGGGTCAGAACCACTTCTCGGTGGAGAGGTAGATATGCAGAGAGATTACTGGAGTCATGCACACCACATTTTAAGAATAATTTTAAATTAGACTGTGGGCTTTGGGTGATTTTTATCTTTCCTCTTGGTAATTTCTATATTTCTTGCATGTTTTAAGTGAACATGATCTTTAATAGAAAGGATAAAAATGTGAAAGCTTAATTTTAATAAGGATCAACTACTATGTTTTTTCAGACTGGGTGCTGACCCAGCTTCTATTTATCCATTCTAGAACAGGTCCTTGGTCTTGAATGCACACCCTGCTAAATCCACACCCTGCGATAGTCCCTTTCCAGGCTAACTCTGAGTTGGCTGTATGACTTAACTCTTGCCCGTGGAATAATAGCAAGTAGAAATTTAAATAATTATTTTCTTTTTTTTTAAGATTTTTTTATGTGGATCATTTTTTAAAGTCTTTGTTGAATTCGTACAATATTGCTTCTATTTTATGTTTGGGGAATTAGCCACAAGGCGTATGGGGTCTGGACTTCCCTGGTGGCCCAGTGGTAAGGTATCCACCTGCCAATGCAGGAGACGAGGTTCGATCCTCTGGTCAGGAAGATCCCTTGAAGGAGGAAATGGCAGCCCACTCCAGCATTCTTGCCTGGGAAATCCCATGGACAGAGGAGCCTGGTGGGCTACAGTCCATGGGGTTGCAAAAAAGTCAGACGTGACTTAATGATTAATCAACAGCAGCAACATGTGGGAATCTCAGCTCCCCAACCAGGCATCAAACTCACACCCCCCTGCATTGGAAGATGAAGTCTTACCCACTGAACTGCCAGGAAAGGCCCTGAATAACTGTTTTCTTGGGTCGATGTTTTGAGTTGGAGATTAGGACCCATCTTCCATGAGACTTTCATTTTCTCCCAGTCAACACAATCACCAAAGAGAGAGAAGTGCTGCTTGCATTTTTCTTAACACGTTTTTCATTTGCTATCACCTGAAAGTGTAGAAGAACTTCTACAAGTGTCTCAGTAATTAAAAAGGAGGAGTTAATGTGCTAAGACACAATAAGTCAGATATTTTTCTCAGTGGGTGGCCTTGAGAATAGCTGATCTAGTCAGCCATATGGTCCTCGTTTTCTGTATCTCTTTCTATTTATGTTAACTCCAGAATTCTGCCACTGTAAGGCAGCTGAGTAAACTTTTGCCCGTGTTTCTGTCTTGTATTAAACAGAGGGCTTCGCCTGAAACATTTCCTGGGTGCTGTTTTCTTCATGGGAAAAAGAATTCCAGGATGAATTCCTTAGTAGAAAAATTACACATTCGCGTGATTATTTTCTTTTCACATGTTTCTCTGTCTCTCATTGTCTAAGTCCTTTTCCTTTTGTGTTCCATTTATTTAAGCCATCATCTTACTGTCTCTTTCTCCACCAAGAGAGAAAGCAGAAGGTCCTAAAAAATTTTAGCACATGAAGACCCGGATTCAGTGAATAAGCCAGCAACTACTGAGCACCCAGCGGGGGTCTCATGTCCCACTAGACGTTCCAGGAAGCTACGAGCGCTTCCTGACAAAACAGACCGTCTGCTGCCTGGGTGTCCACACACTCATGTCCCGGGGCGGGTGGGGGCCGTGCAGGACCGGAGAACAGAGGCCCCGGCGGAAGGGCAGATGCTGCTCACCTCAGCCAGCTGCTGCCGCGTGGGAACGAAGGGCCCCGTCTTGCCAGCTCAGCTCATTTTTTCCCAAGATGCTAGGAATCAAGATTTCTTGCCTGAACTCGCTCCATTTAAAAAGTTGTCAACTAATTCAAAATTTTTGAAAACAATGTGTGGGCCAACAAATGTTGCAGGCCAAGTCAAATAAGTCTGCATGCCTGATTTGGCTCACCTTCTTGCTTTACATTAGAAACTCTCTCTGAATTTAAAAATGCTTACCACTCAGAATGATTCGGTGACATTTGTAATTATCTATGTACATTTTCTGAAGAAAAACCTTGAGTAAGGCTGCTTGAACGCAAATCCCAAACAACTGCCATTTTGATCGTTTAGTACCACAGGGCAAAGTAACTTGTTGATGCAATTTTTCACGTCTAACTACTTGTTTTCATATCATACAGATTCTGCCTAAATTATGTAGGAGTCAAGTCTTAACACCATAGTTTCTAAGATCAAATCTATATCAGTATCCCCCCCACCACACACATACAAAATACCATCCCGTAACAAAAATGACCCCTAGTGAGGGTTATTCTGGGGTCCTGGAGGATTATTATTGCTGGAAATAACAAGTGGTTGGCAAGGATGTGGAGAAATTGGAATCCTCGAACACTGTTGGTGGGAATGTAAAATGATGCAGCCGCTATGCAAACAGTACGATGATTCCTCAAAAAATTAAAAATAGAAGTATCATATGATCCAGCAATTCCACTTCTGAATATATATATACCCAGAAGAATTGAAAGCAGAGTCTCCAGGAGATATTTATACACCCATGTTCATAGCAGTGTTATTCACAATAGCCAAAAGACGGAAGTAGTGAAAGTGTCCATTGACAGATGGATAAAATGAGGTATTTTATCCTCATAGATAGAGGATAATAGTATAATAGAATAATACAATAGAAATATACAATAGAATAATATTCAGCATCAAAAAGGAAGGGAATTCTGGCACATGGCAAAAACATGAACTTTGGGGGCATAATGTTAAGTGAAATAAGCCAGTTGCAAAAAGGAAAATACTGTATGATTCCACTTATATAAGGTATCTGGAGTAGTCAAATTCATAGTAACAGAAAGTAGAATGGTGTTGCCAGGAGCTAGGAGGAGGCAGAAAGGGGTAGTTGTTGTTAAATGGGTGTATTAGGTTCTCCAGAGAAATAGAACCAATATGATGTTTATAACAAAGATCTATTTGAAGAAATTGGCTCATGAGATTATGGAGGCTGGCAAGTCCAAAATCTGCAGGGTAGGCCATCAGGCTGGAGACCCAGGGAGAATCCAGTATTGCAGTTTAAATCTGAAGGCTGTCTTCTGAAGGTATTCCTACTTTCTTGAGGGAAGTCAATCTTGTTCTATGTAGCCCTTCAACTGTTTAGATGAGGCCCACCCACATTATGGAGAGCAGTCTGCTTGGGCAAAGTCTACCAATTTAAACGTAAATCTCATCCAAAAACACCCTAAAAGAAACATCCAGAATAATGTTTGATCACATAGTCAGGCTCTGTGCTTGGTCAGGTTGACACATAAAATACCGTCACGTAAAAGCTGACACATAAAATACTACACTATACCGGCACAATGTGTATAGAGTTCTGGTTTTGTAGCGTGAAAGATTCTGGAGATTGACTGCATACCAATGTGAATACACTTGCCACTAATGAATTTTAAACTTTAAGATGGAAAAAATAAATAAATAAACTTTAAGATGGTTAAGATGGTAAATTTTATGTTATGTATCTTTTACAACTGGGGGAAAAAATGTATATTAGATTTTTCCCTGGGGCCTGCAGCATCAATGGGATGGGCAAGGGTCAAGATCTTCATATTGTCAGGAAACTCTGCAGCCACCATCAGGACCAGAAGTGGCATGATAAATGTACAAGAAAGCCCATTGGGGCCAGCCCTGGAGATCAGCCCCTTTGGAGGCACTTCACATGCAAAGGGAATTTTGCTAGAAAATGTCAGAGTTGGAGCCAAACAGGTAAATTCTGGCTTTGGGAAGTATTTCTGGGGCCAACTGATCAAGAAGAGGAAGAAACTCAACAGTTCCTTACCCAGTGATGATTGCTTGAACTTTACTGCAGAAAACAGTGAAGTTTCCGTTGCTGGATTTGATTGCAAAACAGCAGGCTCTTGTTGACATTCCTGGAGTCCACTTTAAAGCGGTCAAAGTAGCCAGTGTCTCTCTTGGCCTTATGCAAAAGCAAAGAGAAAAGACTAAGATGAGAAGTTTTGATGATGCAAGCATGGTAGTAATAAACTTTCATATACCAAAAAAAAGTATATTAAAGAGAGAAGTTTCCTTTCACTAAATATAAAAAGAAATGTTTTCATAAAGGACATTAGGGTACAATCTAGACTATATTTTACCATTAGGGTCTTATAAAAAAAAGTTCTTTGTATAGCAAACTTCTATAAAAGTTGAGAGAGTAAAATTATTGTATCTCAGAAAGCTATTTCTGTGGGAAGCTAAGATTATATAGTCTAGTTATATTGCTTCCTGGGGAATATAATTTTCCTCAGGGAGAGAGCTTGGAGAACAAGAGAATTAGAAGCTAATACATCCTCCCTCTGATTGTTACTCTCAGATAACAAGCTTTTCAACTGAAGTGTTGGTAAAAGCTAAATAGCAGTCAGCTTATGACTGGTCGTATGATAAATGGCTATAATTTTAGTATTTTGGTCAATATTGCTATGTACACAGGAGGTAGAATTTTTATTGAAATATAGTTGATATGCAGTGTTGTGTTAGTTTTAGGCATACTGCAAAATGATTCAGTTTATATAATCTGAATCTGCGATATATATACACACACATACACACACACTTTTCCAGATTATTTTCCCTTATAGGTAATTACAAAATATTGAGTATAGGTCCCTGTGCTGTATAGTAGGTCTTCATGCTTATTCATAGCAGTGTGTATTTGTTAATCCCAAACTTCTAATTTAACCCTCCCCCCACCTCAGGAAGTACAATTTGATCCAGAGGACCACAAAACCTGTGCTTTCAATGCATTTCAAGTAAATTTTCTGACATTTTATGTTCATACTTGGAAATTCTTCATAAGGTAAGTGAGGTATCATTAAATGACTCTCAGCACTCTTAACTTAGTGACTCAGATAATTTGTCCAAGTTTCTACATGCCAGAGAAAGTCTTTCAAGGTCAAGTTTCTAAAGCTCAAACCTAACTGATGTGAGAGAAAGCATCCTTTCTTTGGTCCCACTGTAACATAGATATTGGTTTATCCTAATAGCAACGTTATATGAGTAATAATAGCTTCAGTCCTAATGCTGATGTTCAAGGTATGATCACGGTAGTAAAATAACTACCAATTATAATTAAAAAGGCGTACACTACCATGTGTAAACTAGATGGCTACTGGGAAACTGCTATCTAGCACAGGGATCTCAGCTCAGTCCTCTGTGATGACCTATAGGGGTGGGATGGGGTAGGGGTGGGAGGAAGGCTCAAGAGGGCAGGGATGTATGTAAACATACAGCTGACTCACATTATTATACAGTAGAAATGAACACAACATTGTAAATAAATTATACTTCAATTGTAAAAAGTTAAATTAAAAAATAATTAAAAAGGCAACATCAATTTTAGTTACTCAAAATTTCATAAGGAAAGATCAGTTCAGTTTTTTGTAATTTTTTCGGTATTTTGCTATATTTGGTATTAACCGTTTCTCTAAAGGCTTTTCCTACCTGCCCACCCCCACCCCCACCCCCCATGAAATAGAAGAGTTAAGCAAAGGAAATAGTAATTGCTGAGGCAAGAAGCGAGCTTTCCTTTTCCACAAGAAGGCAACCCCATGATAGGCCCTCCAGCCTCCAGTAATACTGCTGCCTCTTTGAGAAGCTCATTTAGGCCTAAGTGAGCAAGGCCGATGAGGTGATGACAGAGGTGCCGGCTAAAATGCTGAGCTCAGCCCATTGCAGTTTCAGAGTTTTGAGTCTCCTTGTTTTGAAAAGGAATTTATTATTTTCTTCCACTATTACCTCATTTTAAAAAATTCTTCTGCTTCCCTGGTGGTCCAGTGGCTAAGACTCTGCGCTCCCAATGCAGGGGTCCTGGGTTCCCTCTCTGGGGAACTAGATCCCCACATGCTGCAACTGAGACCTCATGCAGCTAAATAAATAAGCAAATAAATAAATATAAAATATAAAATAAACCTTAAAAACAATTCTCCACTATGAACGCAAACTTAGCAAACCACTGAATCATAATACAACGGCATATACTGAAGAAACCTAATGTAATCTAGAGGGTTTAGGGAAAAGCCTTCCCTGGAGATAACATTTTCAAAGGTGGGCCTAAGTTTGAAGCTTGATTTAATTTAGAAGCAGAGAAATGTTCTAGGTATTGTACCTATTAGAATAGGTGGCTGTGAAAAAAGATCAGTTACTGTTCTTGGAAATTAAAAATGTGATTATCTAAATTTAAAGTATTACAACTATTTTTAATATTAAAAATAAGATTTTTCCCTTGACCACTAGTTATGTTGAACATCTTTTCATGTTTTTTCTTTGACTATTTATAGCTCCCTTTCTTTGAACTACCTGTTTATATTCTTTGCTCATTTTTTCCTCTTGAGTCATTTGTGAGTTTTCTTATTGATTTGTGAGTGCTCTTTGTATACTGGCACTTTGCTTGATATATGTGAGCAGATGATTTCTCTCAGCCTGTCACTTGACATTTAACTTGTCTTAGTGTCTTTCAAATATCAGCAATTAACATTTTTATAGGGAGTAATTTGTAATTATTTTATTAAAAGTGTGTGGGGTTTTAACTTTTTATTTTGCATTGGAGTTGATTAACAATGTTGTGATAGTTTCAGGTATATAACAAAGTGATTCATTTTGGTGTAATGGATACATTTTCCATTTAGACTGTTACATAAATATTGAGCAGAGTTCCCTGTGCTATACAGTAGGTCCTTGTTGGTTATCTGTAAGCTTGTGGGTTTTAATTTTGCTTAGGAAAGTCTTCTCAAATGCAATACAGTAATAGAACTTCTTCTGGTATAATTATACATATCAAAATCATCTAATCTCTCCACAAACATTTTACAGTTTCCTTTTTCTGTAAAATGGAGATGATATCTTCCTTACAGTGTTTTGTGTGAATGAATAGACACTTGTGAAATATCTGGCATACACAGGCACTCAATAGACTTATTGAGGAGATAAGAAAATTGAGAGCAGTGAAATAAGGGGACCGGCCAAGGTCAAATACAAACAAAAATACAACCTCCCAAGTCCCTGACTCAAGGCAGCTAGACTAAGTGGCCTCTCCTTAGCCTCTGTACAGACAGGTAGAGTTGACTTTCCTTTTCCGTGGCTGTATGTTAAACAAGTACGCAGACCCCTGAGAACAGCTTCCCATCCCCTGAGGGAGATGGTCACGTGTTTGGGATTTGATGTGTTCCTTCCCTTCTTTCCCATCTCCTGTTGACCTGCCACAGGGTGTATCTGTTCCTCACCTCGTCACACCCATGCCTTGCCCTCGCTTTGAATCCATCAGTCCACGCCCAAGTCCCTGAATCCTGGGACGCCGATGGATGTGTCACCAGCCTGGGGTCCAGGATTGCCATGCCCCATGGGGAGGAAGGCGCGCTTCAGACTGCCCCCCCATTCTCTGATTCCTAGTGTCTCATCTCATTGTGTTTCATGCACGTTACTTCCACGGCCTCCCTGCCTCTCAGCCTTCCTACCCACCACCCCTGCCCTCCACACTCGCAGACTCCACTCTGCCGCCTTCACGTTACTTCTAAAGCAGAATCTGATCATGTCACTTTTTACTGAAAACACTTCAGTGCTGTTCCATGCGCTTATTATTTTGTCATAGGCAAATATTTTCCTTCTTTGGATCTCTTTCTCCACTTGAAGAATAGGCTTAATAAGGGTTAGCTACAGCTTTTAGTAGACAACACAGGGACTTCCCTGCCAGTCCAATGGTTAAGAATCTCTTTCTCCAGTGCAGGGGCCATGTATCTGATCCTTGGTGTCGGGGAAATAAGATGCCACATGCCACAGGGAGACTCAGCCCATGTGCCACAATGAGAGGGGCCTACACACGGCCACAAAGACCCCGTGCACTGCAGTGAAGACCCAGCCCAGCCAAAGACAGTATGTCAAATATATTATAAATATTATGTACTACATATATAAAATAGAGCTATCTTAGCCTGACCTATAAACCCTCTGTGAGGATCTGCAGCTTCACCCGTGGCCATCTCCTGTCTTGCATTTCTTGGTCCAGTCATCCTTGTCCCCTTTCCACTCCTAGAATGCAGCCCTCACTCATGTTCTGTAATCTGCACTCACCGTTCCCGCTGTTTGGAAGAACACTTCTCACCCTGCTCCTGGGGCCTGGCTACCCACCTTCAGTGTCTAGTCTTTATTTACCATGCAAAGTTCAGCTTCCTCCTGAAATATGTTTCTGGCATATACTGTCCTCTCAACGAATATGTGTTGAATAAAGAACTACTGAACACTGAGGAGGGATTGATGCTGTCTGTTAATAACTGTATGTATAGTATCTCATTCGGTGTTCACAGACTTCCTGTGAGGTCAATACCATCAATCCCATCATCGTGGATGTTCAGAGCAAGCCTAGGAAAGGTGGAGTAACTTGTCTGAGTTTATGCAGTTATACAGTTATCAGTGGCAAAACTGATATCCCAATCCAAGTCTGTCTGACTCCAAAGGCCAAGTTTAGAGTGAAATAGAGCAGGACATGAAGGAAGAAGTAATCAATCTTCACAGAAAGCTCTCAAGAACGCGGTTTTCTCATGTAAAGTGTGCATAGATTTGGAGAAGCAGAGCAGAATCTTTAAAGCCTGGCTTTTTCACCAATAGCTAAGAAGGTACCAAGGTCCCACAGAGCAGTGGGTTCTCTTGTCCAGCAAGGAGATACGGCAACTATTCCAGACAACCTGCCCCCAAGGACCACCCCGTCCCACAGTGTCTCTAGCATGAGAAATCAGGAATTCAAAGTTTCTTTCCAGACAATCAGATCTCTTTCCTTCTATGCCATAAAGCACAGTCCATGATATTTCTTAAAAAGAAATGTCTCTTTTTAAACAAAGTTTTCCATCTTGATGTGTAGGTTTACAAATAATTCATATTATTAGAGTAGAAACAGTTCAAATATAAAGGGTAAGCCACTTCAGCATCCAT